ATTCCATTTTTTTTGTTGCCTTATATATATATATACATGATAGATCGGATATTATTGGATATTCCATGTCACGTGTGTGAAGATCATTCATCAGGAAAACATTATGGTATCTATGCTTGTGATGGGTTAGTAAAATTATTATTGTTTATTGTTTATTGTTTATTAATGAGATGGGAATCAGTTTATTAGAGTTGTTCAGTATAGTATTGTTTTAATTAATAAAAATATTATCTATTGTCTTTATATTGTTGTTACAATATACCTGGTGTCAGTTGTTGTTCTTGTTGCCAATTATATAGATATGATAGTGATGAACTGTGTCCAAATGTATTCGATAAATAAATCATGTTTATACTTGTTGTATTCATATAAATATATAGATATATGTAGACGTGTATACAAACAAGTAAATGTCTTTCTTTCATTGAAGAGAATGTTTCCGTATTTAGTTACTTATATGTATATATGTATACATATATTTCGTTGAAAAATTGAGAACTTATGGAAGAAGGGGGATTTTGTGGAGATTTTTTTTAGCAATTTTATATAGAGTTGAAATCATGAGTCAATTGAAGCTAGATCATCATGGAAAACTTGGAAGAACTGGACGACCGTTTCGTCCTATTGTGGGACTCCTCAATAGTAGTGTGTATCCACAACCTCATCTCTCGAGATTCGAACCCAGGACCTATCAGTTTCGCGCCAGAGCATTTCACCGATAGACCACTGAGCCGGCAGTCCAGTGATTTCAGTTTTTCCATGGTGGTCTAGCTTCAAGTGATTCATGATCTCAACGATATAAACTTAAGGATGAAATTAATAAAAAGGAAAATAATTACAGGACTGATTTTTTTTTAAAAAAAACAAACAATACAAAGTTATAGGTAAGAATAAATTCATACCATACTAATGGAAATTTGATGAATTCATATGCATTGAACAATTTAACAGTTATCTTAAATTAGTAGCTCACCATAAAACACTTTGGTATTTGAATTGAAAAGTACTGAGGCTTCATCCCTTTAATGAATTTTAACACTATGACATAATCATGTCTACATGATGAATATCGAATAGAACGAAACACATATTTTAATTAAAATGCTTGTAAGTAAATGACAATATACAATCAATCTACTCAGGATATATACACACTATTACAGACTGATCAATTCCATACATTAATATAAATTAATGAAAACTTCAAACTGTTATCAGTAGAATGAAAACAGTCTCTTAATATTTACTTGTCATTGATACAAGTCTATAAAACATGGGAGATGTTTATCTATTTACTTACAAATAGTTTGAATAAGTTGACTTTGATTTTATTCCATAGAAACAAAAATTACTCGTTTAGATAGTATCCAACCACTCTACGCAAAAAGGTTAGTATTCGTAACCCATTTGACTAAAGTACATGGAAGTGTTATCAAGTCATATTTAAGATATCTAAATTAAAGATTCATTATGCAATGATGATGGTGTAGTGAATAGAACACGACTGGGAACAATCGAATGTATTAAAGCAAAAATTACAGACCATCTAAGTAAATTCTAACAATCATACAATGAACAGTCAATTTGCAAATTAACAACCAATAGTCTCGATCTTCACTGTTTCTTCTCTAATTCCATTGTTCGTGCATTTTCCAAACGATTGCGCTTCATTTCAGTTCTTTCCTGATCGGTCTTCTGCCAAAATACATTCTATGTCTGATCAACACCATATACTACTTATATGGATATAAGTAGACCACACCACAATGGATATCAAAACAAAATATCTTCTAGTGATTTATACTTTAAACTCAATGATTACAGAATAGTAACTGATAAATATTGAATAATTCACATCATATCATATAGTTAACTATGACAGTGTAAAGATCATATGATTATCAATTAACAGTAGGCTTTTTGATATTCACAGTTGAATTATTCTATTCTAACATTGATAATATCATTGTTGATCCTATTGTGGTGTGTATTACTGATGTCGACAGTTATAAGTAATATGTATCACCAGTTGAATGTAATGTAATGTCAGGGGGTAGAAGGTTGGGAAAATCAATGAGAAGTGAACGACAACAGAGAGTGATTGGTATGGAAACGAATGAATAACAAAAACTCTGAGACAATTGATGAATATTTTGCAAATAACGTATTCACTGTTTAGTTTTCAGATTTCACCAAGAAATTGTATTGAAACATATTTGGTTTTCCCCGCCGGTTTTCTCGTTCACTACACTATCGTCAACAGGATATCACCATAAATAACTTCAACTGCTAAGAGTATTCATGTCAAATGTCTTTACATTTAAATTTACATACAAAAGTATTTACACAAAGTAGTTAATTTGTGATAAAAATTTATATACGTCCATCAATAGCAGGTTCGAATCCCGTGTCACTAACTATAACAGTTAAATATATGACTAGAAACTAAGTGTATCAATCTGTATCCGGTAAATGAGTAAATCATATACCGAACATATAAAGTTTTTATCCTCAAAATTATTCTGAACTACCCCATGGATGATTATTTTTCTTCAAAAACTAACCAATAAACCATTAAATCAAGAATAATTTATCCGATGAATAAAACGTTAGCTGTGTTAACCTATTAAGAATTATTGAATATTTAAAAATTGTTTACGTACATTAAACAAAACAAACCATAAAATCACTTATGAAACAGTTGAATGATAAGTTTTCAATAACGAAAACCCTTTGAATGCCGGCTCAGTAGAGTCTAGAGATTAAGCATTCATGCGTGGGACATAAGGTTCTAGGTTCAAGTCCTTTTGATGCGGGATCGTGGACGTGCACTGTTGAAAAACCTCATACTAGGACGAAACAGCCATTCAGTTCTTATAAGTTTTCAATTGTGGTCTAGCCTAGACTAACTTGTAAATTCAACTGATGAAAAAATTAATTTTTTAATAGTTGAAATCATGAGTCAATTAAAGTTAGACTACCATGGAAAACCTGGAAGCACTGGATGGCTGTTTCGTCTTATTACGAGATTCCTCAATTGACTCAACTATTCATTATCGATTATATGTTCATTTCTTTGTTGTGATCATTGTATTTCGTTGTTATCATTGACTTCTTTATATCTTGAATGTTTTCAATGTACTAATGTTGTTTATATTTTTCTTTCTGTTTTGTTTTAAATTTACTTCATGTCATTAAATCTTTATGAAACTGTGGACTATTATCATTTACATGTACAATTATGTTATAACAACTACAATTGATTGATTCTACTTGATACAGTTGTGCAGGATTCTTTAAAGTAAGTTACTATTACTACTACTGATAATAATGATGATTTATTTAAGTAATACGTAACGTTACATGTTATATTTGATTTTGGATTGAATATTGAGCTAATAATATTTGTACTTATTACTTAATTTAGTCAAAGTAATATATCAGTAATGTATTGATATTACTTAAGAAATGTACGTCCAGGTAGTAGAAAGTATTGGACAGTTGTTTTGATGGTTGTTTAAATTTGGTCGACCTTAATAACATCTAACAATCTCAGTAATCTTCATATTGATAATTTCCAGAGTTTTAATGATAAACTGTTATTAGTGGATTTTAATAATGTTAGAATGTGAGGTATCTATCCACTGAAAACAATAGAAGATAGTTATGCAATACCATACATTAATTGAAATTAGAAATATAAACTATTTGATACTGGTTCAGTAATTTGAAAGTAAATTATTTGCCAAAAGACTGTGGGTTCGATCCTCAGAAGGTTTATAGATGTTCACTTCTAAGAACGAAACAGATGATCAGTACTTCTTAGTTTTTAGTATTTATCTAACTTAAGAGGACTGATAGTCTTCATAACCTTCAACGATCTTCGTAAATCTTTAAATCTATTGTATTTTAATCATTTTCATGTGTAGTTCTAATCCTGTCTTACACTCTATATACCTAGTCCATAAATGATAACCATGATTAAAAGGTTTCCAATGCATATCCAAGCTTTAGATTTACTCATTAACTGACAATAATTATTTACCATTTAATATGGGTTTTATCATCTATTTATAAGATTATTCATGATCTGAATAGTCTTCGACTATAATATGGAATACTAAATTTGAATCCTTTAAGAAACATCAACTTTTTAAAGATTGTAGATAACTCCTCTATGTGATGACAAGTTTCAATTCGTTTGAAATTTAAGTCAAAACAAAATTTTTTCTTCTAGCTACTATCACAATTTACATCATAGAGTGATTTTAACTAAACAATGATTGAAAACAAGAAAAAAAATTGATACAGGCTAAGTGGCCTATTAGTTAAGTGCTCTGGCGCAAGAATGGTAGTTCCTGTGTGTTCAATCTCGTGAGTACGAGATCGTGGATGCACACCGCTACTGAAGAGTCCCACAACAGGAAGAAACGGCCGTTCAGTGCTTCTAAGTTTTCTATGGTGGTCTAACTTCAATTGACTGATGTTTTCAAGTATGAAAAAAAATTGAATAGGTTATGGATCGTCTTAATATAAAACTAATCACTACGGTGTATTTACATTTTATAACTAATTTTTTTATTTATTTATTTAATTATTTTATTTATACTCCTATCACTCTTCCCCCCTCTCTTCTACACTATCCTATCAATTTAGGACATTTAGCAACAAACAGTAAAATACAGGCTTCTTTCTAATGATAAATACCCTAAGCATCATATGATGTAGAAAAAATGGTTTAGAGAATATTTCTGTACTCACTTCTGTCAATAATTATGTAAAAGGGTCATGTAATCATTTCAACTGTCAGTCATTTGTATATGTACATATGTAACTCTTAATCATTTGATTCTTAATACTACTTATTATACTACTTATATTACTACTACCACTACTGCTTCTATTGTTTAATGAGTTCAGAGATATTATATGATGAAGTTGATCGTATGATTTAAGAAAGATCTATATTGTTGTTTTATAATCTATTTAAAAATAGATTAATGATTATACTACTGATAATATTAAATATTAGTAGTAGTAGTAGTAGTAGTAATAATAATACAGCAAGTTTATTAATGATACAAGTAAAGATTAATGATGGTAACAACGTAATCATTAAACTAAAAAGGACTGATATCATATGACTTTTTCATAATCATTATTACAATTTAATGTTTTATTTGTTCAATTTGGCTTTTGAAAAGCTTTGACGTTTTAATTAACTAGCTCTCTTTCTCTCTCTCTCTCTATATATATATATATATCTAGGCAACTAAATATGGAATAACACAGCAGGTGGGCTATATCATTGAGTAGTACTTAAACTTTGTATCCTTCTCTCATTATATACAGCGAGAGAGTGAGAGAGAGAGAGGTGAATGTACGTGTATTTATGTGTATTTATAACACATCCACATGGATACTATCATGAAAAATAGATTCTTTAATTTAATCTAAATAAATTCTTAGAGAGGGGGGTGGGTGAATGAGAACTTAAACTATATAATGTCTTTTATTCAGTGAATTACTTCAAAATATATCAATTTACTTGGGAGAGATGATCATACTTATTGCTATAATTATATGTTTTTTTATACCAAAAATTATAATATTACTATTACTATAAGTAGTATTAGTAGTCACCAGTAGTATTATTATCGGTATATTCACTGTAACATCTGGATATTTCAAGTATGATCTCTTTTGAAGTCATATATTAATATTATTGTTGAATCCTATACATGAACCTAACAGTTGTCTAATGTATAGAAGATTTTAATTATACTTCAGAAAATGTTAGTCTGTCATGAAAACTGTTTATACATATGTTTACACTAATTTGTATTTAATTACCAGAAATATCTGAGTCCTAATGGCCTAGTAACAATGTCTCAGACTTTGGAATTAAGTGATGCAAGAGTGAATTTCATAGGACACTTCAATCACTTCACTATTATGAGTGAACTTTACTGACGAGTCTCGACTCGTATGAAGCCTATGTTTGAAGTTCCTTGCTGACTACTTCGAAACACCCCATATATATAAATATATATATATATACATATATATATATATCTTTTATTAAATTGAACATTATCTATTTTTATAGAGATCTATACGACGTAATCGTCAGTATACATGTAAAAGTCGTGGTACAACAATTGGTAGTAAATCTGGCATTGTAGTCTGTCGAGTGGATAAATCTCATCGTAATCAATGTAGAGCATGTCGATTAACTAAATGTCTTGAAGTTGGCATGAATAAAGATGGTAAGTTGTTTGTTTTAATTTTTTAGATATTCAATGTTCATTTTATCAATTTATTGACTACTTTTACATTATTAAGTTCCAGTTCAGTGGTCGAAAGGTTAAGCATTCACGTGAAAGACTGAAGGTCTTGAGTTTGATTCTTATTAGTGGATCGTTTGTGTGTACTATCGGGGAGTCTTAAACTTTTAATGACATCTGTCAACTTGAAATTTTAAAAAAAATGGTAGAGTTCTTTCATCAACTTATCTAAAAGATTTGGTAACGATAAGTTTTTTCTTCAAAGCGAATGAAATGTATTCTTGTGTCCATTCATATATCATTTGAGTATGACCTACATGATGGAAATACTGAAAAAAAACTAGACAATTAAACAAAAACTGATATGTCCAAGTGTAATCTATCTATCCATCTATCTATACATCGAGTTCGACTTACCAATCAACATACATATTTCAGTTCTGCAGGAGATCATTTGCTATCCGTATGTGACTACCTCCTTTCACTTAAGATTATTACTTATAGTACTGACTGTAAGTACTTATAGTGTTTTTTTCTCAGAAATAATAACTAAAACATTTTATTCAGAAAAAGGTTTTGTGGAGATTACAGTATTTTCATAATCGAAATCATGAGCCAATTGAAGCTAGACCCCTATGGAAAACCTGGAAGCAATGGAAAACCGTTTCGTCTCATTATGGGACTCGCCAGAACGTCTGTTGTGAGATATCGACTCACCGAAGACAATTGGTGGACGGTTGCTCAAACTTCGTGGATTGGTTGAAGTTAGACATTAACACCGTTGGATGCCGGCTCAGTGGTCTAGTGGTTAAGCACTCGCGCGTGAGATTGGTAGGTCCTGGATTCGAATCTCGTGAAGCGAGATCGTGGATGCGCACTGTTGAGGAGTCCCACAATAAGACGATACGACCGTCCAGTGCTTTCAGGTTTTCTTTGGTGGTCTAGCTTCAATTGACTTTTGATTTCAACTATGAAAATACTGAGATCTCCACAAAACCCCTTCATATATTTACCGAATTAATAATTTAACATATTGAATTTTAAAAAATCATTGAATGTACAGTACTCATTCCACTTTCAAGGTCATACTATCACCATCATTAATTATTAAGAATGATGATTAATTGTTCTTTACATTGAGATCACCATAGATTCTTTACTCTTAATGACTTATTTTCTGTTCATCAAAGTACTTGTTAACATTGATTTAACCTTTAAATGACTATATTAGATTATACTATATATAATATATATATATATATATATATATATATATATGCATGTATGTAATATGTATATAAATGTATATTGACTATTTACTATTACAGTTACTATGCTAAATAGATGATTATTATTACTCCTGGAAAGGAATCATTTAGTTAACTAGTACAAATGATTTCATTCCAAATAAACAAACCATAAGCACACTTCTGTCAATTTTCAATTATATTATTATGATTGTATACCACTACTATTACTACTACTACTACTACTACTACTATGACCACTATGACTACTACTACTACTACTATTACTGCTATTACTACTACCACTAATAATAATAATAATAATAATAATAATAATAATAATAATAATAATAATAATAATAATAATAATGACACATTAACACGTATTAAATAAAGTTTATAAATCTATGTGAATTATTCAATTCAAGTCAATAATAATTTTAATGGTATTTCTATTCATTATGAAATGTTTAAAATCATATTATCAGAAGGGGGGTTTTTTGTGGATATTATAGTCATTTTATATAGCTGAGATCATGAATCAATTGAAGCTAGATCATCTTGGAAAACTTGGAAGTATTGGACAGCCGTTTCCTCCTATTATGGGGCTTCTCAGTAGAAGTGTGGATCCACGATCTCGCCTTGCGAAATTCCAACCCAGGACCTACCATTCTCACTCGCAAGAGCTTAACCACTAGACCACCGAGCTGGAGGACATCCAACAGTGTTAATGTCTAACTTCAATCAATCCACAAAATTGAGCAACCGTTCATCAATTGTCTTCAGTGGGTTGATATCTCACAACAGACCTAGTTGAACTCCACTGGTTACTGCTTCTCACTAGAACTCCAGGAAATACTTCATGGAGCCAGTCACTAGTGAGCATATGATCGTTATTATAAGAAGGGGGTTTCGTAGAGATTATAGTAATTTTAATAGTTGAGATTATGAATCAAATGAAGCTAGACCACCATATAAAACTTGAAAGTACTGGACGACCGTTTCGTCCCATTCTAGGACTCCATAGTAGCAGTACGCATTCACGATCCTGTCTCGTGAGATTCGAAATGGCCGCCCAGTGCTTCCAGTTTCTCCATGGTGGTCTAGCCTCAATTGACTCGTGACTTTTTTTTCTAGAATTAAGTCATTATACATCATTGTTGATCAAAACTATCTAGATATCAGATATACATATTTCTATAACAATATAAAACTTGATTACATCATTCGATTTTACAAACATAATACATACAAGGTAGAAACAAAACAGAAATTGATCATTTTTCCCATGGAACAAAACAAACAAACCATCAAAACTATTTAAATTATATATTTTACAGTTGTTATCATTAAACACATCTGTATATTGATGATATTGATATTAGTTTTTTTTGTTTTAATGAAGGCGCCATTTCTCAAATTTAAAAAAAAAGAAGAAACTTTTCAATATTGTTGAGTTATAAAATGTATAGAACACCTATGGTGTGTTTATGGATATCTATCTATCTATCTATCTATCTATCTATCTATCTATCTATCTATCTATCTATCTATCTATCCATCTATCTATCTATCTATCTATCTATCCATCTATCTATCTATCTATCTATCTATCTATCTATCTATCTATCTATCTATCTATCTATCTATCTATCTATCTATCTATCTATCTATCCATCTATCTATCTATCCATCTATCTATCTATCTATCTATCTATCTATCTATCTCTCTATCTATCTATCTATCTATCTATCCATCTATCCATCTATCTATCAAAAGACTGACTCCTTTCTGTTTTAAATGTTACCACACAAAATGAATTTTGTTTTTAATGTTCAATATGTTCTTAAAATGTATTATACATATTTAATTAAACAAATAAGATAATTATAGATGGAAGTATTTTTCACACCACATATGGTATATGTGTGTGTGTATGTTTCTAGGTGGTTGTGTTTTTTTAGGGGGGGGTAGGGGGAAAAAAGTGGCTATTCAAACATTTTTAATTTTAATTCTTCAACTTATAAGTTATTCAAGTATAATTATGTTTTTAGTTTGTTTGTTTGTTTGTTTTTGTTGTCGGGAGAATTGTGATTTTACTGATATAAAGTATTTCATTGTGACCTACAACAAAGAAATATATATATATATATTCATTGAATTGGCTGCATATACAAAATGCTTTATTCAATGAACAAGAAAAAAAGATTGGCTCCATGAGGTATTTCCTGGAGTTCTCATGAGAAGCAGTAACCAGTGGAGTTCAATCAGGTGTGTTGGTAGACAGGAACTCACTAAAGACATTGGTGAATGGTTGCTCAATTTCGTGGATTAGTTGAAGTTAGACATTAACACAGTTGGACGCTGGCTCAATGGTCTATCGGTTAAGTGCTCTGACGCGAGCATGGTAGGTCCTGGGTTGGAATCTCGCGAGGTGGGATGGTGGATGTGCACTGTTGAGGAGTTCAACAATAGGACGAAACAGCCGTCTAGTGCTTCCAGGTTTTCCATGATGGTCTAGCTTCAATTGACTCATGATTTTAAGTACATATGAAAAAGAAAACAACAACCTCTGTAGTGAATGAGAATACCAATGAAGATAATCGAATATATCATGAGCCTAACATTACAGAATATCATAGTAAAATCTGAGAATCATTAAGTAAATATCAATCAATTGTCATAAACTTGACTGTTCGTTTTGTGAACATTAGTTAGTTGTCTTAGATTTCATTATTCCTAAATTTTAATATCAATTACTTTCTGTTTCTGTTCTTTTCTTCATGATCATCTATTGAAATATATTCTATTCTTAATTGGTGTTGGATACTACTTATACGGATATAAGTAGCTCATAACACACCTGTAATTTATTGATATTCAATTTCATATTATTACAATGAATAGATAAGAAGATTAATCTAACTATATCTAAATGATCATTTAAGTGTAGTCTAAATAAGATCTTGTACAGTTGAAGATTTGATGGTTCATATGGTTCGATACTTAATAGAATAATATAGGGACAATAAAATCATAGATATCATAGTTCTTCACTACTTCCAATTTTTCATTAGTACTTAAACTGAGATCAAGCTAGAAAGTAAATAATATTTGTAACTTAGTCAATTCAAACAAAGTATATTATTGATGAGTACAAGGAAGTACGAAACATTCGATCAATCAACTATATATATGTAACATTACATTAAAGATGTTAGGATATTCTCATTATCTTGATTAATCACTTTTTAAAAAAGCTACAATCATTTAAGATTCTAGAAAAAGAATTGATATGTTTATAATTGAATTCATGAGTCAATTGAAGCTACACCATCATGGAGAACCTAGAAACAATGGACAGACATTTCTTCCTATTTTTGAACTCCTCAACAGTGCGCATCCACGGTTCCGCCTCATGAGGTTCGAACCCAAGACTTATCAGTCTCGTGTGCGATCGTTTAACCATTAGACCACTCAGCTAGGCATCCAACGGTATTAATGTCTAACTTAAAATAATTCATGAAATTGAGCAACCATTCACCAATGTCTTTAGTGAGTTCCTGTCTCCCAACACACCTGATTGAACTCCACTGGTCACTACTTCTCACTAGAACTCCAGGAAATGCGACTTGAAGCCAGTTACCAGTGAGCACATGATGGTTATTATCAGAAGGAAGTTTCGTAGACATTTTAGTAATTTTTAATAGTTAAATTCATGAGTCATTTGAAGCTAGACCACCATGGAAAACTTGGAGGCACTGGAAAGCCATTTCGTCCTATTGTCACATATTAAACTTATTATATATGTATTATATCATAAATATCGTTTCAAGGATTTGAAGACTAATTACGTCATCATGATAAAGGAAAATGATCTGAATCTGATCCGACGACAAGATTATGTGTTCAATAGTAGTTTATCTAATACTACAGATGAAATAAAACTGTATTTTATCATTTTTTTAAAAATTCCATATTAAACTTTGTCAGTAAGTAACAACTGAAGCCAAGAATTTCCTCTTCTTCCTAATTAAAACTCATTAGATGAATATACTTACATTCCAGTGTTGTGTTATTTTCATCCTGTTTTTTTATTTCAAATTTCACCATGTATTATTCATTGAGTTAATAATTCCTGATTGGCAGTACAAACCACTGTCCGCAAATGCTCTGTACTCTCTCCCTCTCCAAATGTTCTCACATCGCCACGCGTATATAGCCTCTACCAGGAAAAGTCTTACTCACTGCATTCTCGTGGCATCGTTGTTGTTTACGAAATTGAGAGGACGAAAAGCGAATGTCCGGCACTTTAACTGGGTTGGTGGACACTATCCATGTCCACGTTGGTGAGTTGGAAAACCCTGATTCCAAACCAATGGTGTACATGGGCTCCAGTATCCTGAGGGAACAAATGGCGTATCAACCAACTGTTCGTCACCGGCTACCGTGGGACTGACTACATCTCCTTACGATGCTCCACCGCCTTGTAGACTAGACCTTTAGGTCAAAGGCTCTGGGTGTGGTCGCCTAAGAAAACCACCTGTTTCAGTTTGGCACCTGAGCAGTATCACAGCCCTCACACAAATCGAATGAGATTTGTGAGGCACATATTTATCTGGTGCTTCCTTTTACCAATATTTATGTGTTCAAAAAAATATATAAACTAAATTATAATATCGTAACAATCGGCTCATCTCGTAGATATTTCAATAGAGATGGACTAATTATAATCTTTTCCATTCATAGTGAAAAAAACAAACAAAACCTTATAAACATGTTTGATATTCTTTGATTTTTAACAGTACACTGATTATAATTAGTTTATGATGGCAATTATCTAATGTTTATTTCAATTTCATTTTGGATTTGTGAATGGTCACTGCCGCTGAGCTCCTACCTAAAATGTTAACAGATAGAAAAATATTCTTATATAACTGGATAGTTAGCTCAGTGATAAACAAACGATATGATGATAGATGGTGGCTAGCAGTGGAATCCATGGCGCGCGTTTCTTCCCATTTAGGACTCGTCAACTCGATGTATCTGCATCTCTGAGTTGATGTTCACTGGGGGACTCGAACCCAGTACCGTTCGCTTGAAACGCCATCGTGTTATCCACTTAGTAAACATTACCAAGTGAATTTAAACTTCGCCCCATTGCACAAGCAGGTGGTTTTCAGGATTCAGTAGCTAAGTAGATAATGCAATGGCTTTTAGAGTGAAAGTTACTGGTTATGAGTTCCTCAGTGAACATCAATTCTGAGATGCAGTGACATTCAGCTGACGAGTCCCAAATAGGACGAAACGTGCGTCAAACTGGATTCCACTGCTAGCCACTATTCATCTTTACTTATATTTCAAATATAATTTTTGCCCATAAAATATAATAAATAACATATTTAGAATGTTTATAAATGACTACTGAAAGGAAATATCCTTTTTACATTAGATTAACCACTTTTAAATTTAAATTGCGTGTGTGAATATTTCATTCTTCTTTTCACATCTATTTTTGTAATTACTTAGATTGCTTTTAAACTAATACAAAAAAAAGGCAAGTAACCTTGGTAACTAAAAACGTAATATGATTACTTAGCATCTTAACTAAGCTTTTATCTTTTTATCCTTCTAGTGGCTACTTGTCATTTAAGTAGTATGCATATATATATATATGAAGTATATGATTCTTATAAGACAAAAAAATGATTTTTTTTAGTTTATACGAAAGTCAGAGTTGAAATGACATGAGAGTAAAGTTTTTGTCATGTAAAATGGATAATAGTCTGTAATGGCTTATTCAACATCTATGTTTACACGTACAGTGCAGAGAGAAAGAGAGGTAGGGAGAGAGAGAGAGGGAGAGGGAGAGCGAAAGAGAGGTACAAACTGTTTTCAATTAGTATTCTTTACTATAAATCTCAAAATCCTCAATACTGATGAGTATATTTTACCTTATTCAATGTTTCCCTTTTTGGTAGTCAATCCCAACAGCAGTCAGTAAAAAATGATGTCCTTATGCCATTTTTATAACTAAATTATTATGTCATATTGTCATATTCGTGTGCGTGTGTGTGTGTGTACATGTATCTATGATCGTATGTGTTTCTAAATAGAATAACAACAATCTGATAACGTAATCCGGACACGTGATTACAAAAAGTTCACCATCAATAGGTTGGTATCTTTATTAGACACGTGAAAAATATAGAGATGAAGGCCAGAATGAGAAGGGAAAATTAAAAAAAACATGCCTCTAGTGATTCCTTCACCTCCATCTGTCTAAACTGTTTGAATAAATAAATGATTGAATGAATTAAAAGAGTGGTACTTGACCTTAGTAGTGAAATCACAGATGTCGATGACCGATGACGTCATTTCCTTGATTAATTCATATCTTCATATCCTAGATACAATAAGATGGAATTATTATTATTTTTATTATATGTCAGGTGGGGTGGAGGGAGACATCGGCGATAATACTAATAATAATTGTTGTCAAGGTTAATAGATGTTACAGGAATTGCGCAACTTTGATTTAAATGAGTTTACGTCATATACATAGAGATTATTTTTAAATTAAATTTCTATATTTATTTTACCCTATTCATACAATTTAATATCAGCCTATTTACATAATAACAATTTAGTCTAATGGAGATTTGAATGAACAGTAGGATGTACGCTTTTTATAGTCAGTAGGAATTAATATGAAACTTTATTATACAATATAGAATTCTCAGCACAAAGTACTTCAACAAGTTTCCCTTTCTTTGTTCTTCGTCCTTCGTGACTTTAAATATCGAATGATCGCCAGTTAGAAGTTAGCAGCCCAGTCAATCGACATCTGGATAATGTATATTCTTCTCGCTGTATATTGCCAGCAACCACGATATCTTTGATTAGGCCTTCTGTAACCTTTTACAGAGAAAGGTCTTACACTTTTCAGAAACACACTTGAATAGGTTGTGAGATAAATAGACATAATGATGTATTAAAACAAACGAAATTGGATAAGTTGTTGAAATATCTAGATGATAGGAACAGGTAGCCCAGATGTTTAAACAGGCCTCTCCAAATGACTAAACATAGAAAAATATATAGTACTTATCATATAATTTGACTTAGTGTTCATATTTTTAATACTTACTGTTGAAAAAGTGTAAAATGTTAGGATGAAAGAACTGCTCAGTATTTCCTAGTTATAAGTAGGTAGTAGGTAGCCCCTCAGGGGGCTACTGCCGGTCCCAAGCTCGGATAAAAAAGGAGGGTTGGATATGGGGGTTAGCGACCGCATCCCGTAGAAAACTAACTCGTTAAAGAAAACGCTAACCAGAAAAAATAATTCAAACCATTTAAACTCTGCCCTGAGAGTTGAAGGAAGAAATTAGTTTTGTTTATGATTAAAGGTTATTTCGACAATTAAATGGTATTATGTATTAAGAACCGCTGACCAATATCAACTATCAAGTCAACGATCAGAGTGCTGATTTTAGTTTAATCTATTTACTCTACAACTTAATGTCTCTGACTTAACCATTTAGTCAACCGACTTTAAACTGACATAAGTAAATTTCTGTCGATCCACTATTTGCAAGCTCCTCTTTGTCTCTTACCTTGAGTCCGAAAAGTCCATAATCAGCCATTTCTATATTTATTATTTAGAACAAAAACGGCTTATATATAGACATATCGGATTGTATCAGACTATAAAATAAAAAAATTACAATTTTACACGAATAACCCAAAGTGATTATAAATATGGAAGACCATAAATGATCGATTGGCAACAAGTTAATGAGTTAACTGAAAGTTTATCACAAACGTATATGGTTCTCAGAGTTATGATTACTTTAATCTTCTTTTTGATATGTCAGATGGTAATCCAAGTTTCTATATTCATGAAGCTATTATTATTTCCTATGTAATTCAAGTATTATATGATATTGTATAAGAAGTTTGGCAATAGTAACAGTTCAGTTTCCATTCAATTAATTCTGGTTAGCGTTTCTCTTTGTAGAAAATTCGTTTTCTACGGGATGGAGATGATGACCCTACAAACAACCTACCTACTTTACTCAGGTTTGAGACTAACAGTAACCGCAACTAATTAATTTCTTTATTTTAATAAAACTTTTATTTTTGTTTCTTCAGCTGTTCAACATGAACGTGGACCAAGAAATTCTACATTACGACGACAAGTTGCATTATTTATGACTAATGATCATCAAACTTTAAATAAATCACATACACATCGTCAATCTAATTCATTATATCATCAATATCCATTGCCATATCAACAATTAACTCAATCATCTATGCCATATTCACAAATACCAATAACAACACAATTAATACATCCAAATCCTTTATTGGATATGACACTAGGTCATTCAATGCATACAAATAACATTATGAATGATAAAGATAATGAACAACAATCATCAGAAAATTCTTTATCCATAAATAATATATTAAATTTTACAAATCCAACTTTTCTATCCTTAAAGTCTACGAATGAATCGCTGCCTTTTTGTTCTTCTACGTCTTCATTATCATCGACATTGTCTTCTACTACTTCTTCTGCTTCTGCTGCTTGTTCTTCTTCTTCTTCTTCTTCTACTAGTACTACTACTACTGCTACTAGTACTACTGCTAGTATTTCCAATACATTGACAACAATGACAACTATGAATAATCCTATTGTTATTACCTCTGTAACCATGGATAATGTGAATAATTTTGATCATATCCTATTATCTAAACCATCATCATCATCATCCCCACCAATCTGTTCTACTTCTTCTACAATAAATATAAATAATAATTTTAATTATTTAAATTATTTACCTTCAATATTCAATTTATCTAATCCATTTAATTTTTCAACAATGACTAGATCTACTATACCATTCAATATAACGAATACTACTTCTACTATTACTACTACTACTACTAATAATAATACTATGAGTAGTATAAGTAATAACAATAATATTAATAATAGTACAATGAATATTGACAATATTACTGCTACTACTGATAATGATAATGTTAGTAATATAACTAGTAATCAAAATGACAAATTAAACATTGATAATCATCATTCATTAGAATATTCATTATTCAATAGAGATTTCTATGAAAAATTACATAATCATCTTCATAATAATAATAATAATGAACAAATGAAATTTGTTGCCATGGATGCAATGAAAACATCATATATTTTAAAAAATTTTGAAATTTTTCAAAAATATATTAATTTAAATAATAATAATAATAATAATAATAATAATAATCATATTGATATTAAAACAACATGGAATAAAGCATTAACATTTGCTAAATTATGTTTACCTGATTTATTTACATATTCAAATGTATATAATCATAATAATCATAATATTGATTATCAATATATTGATTATACAAAATCATTATTATATTTTCAATCAATATTAAAATCAACCAATCAAATTTATGATGAAAAATCAATAATATGGCCTTGGTTTCTATCAAATTATAATCAATTCACTGATTCATTATTACAATCAACTTGTATGAATAATAATAATAATACTGATCTGAAACAGAATCATCATAATGATATAATTGATCTCAATAATCATAATGATCATTTAAATTTAATTCAGAATTGTACTACTGATTCAGGGAATAAAATGACTAATTTATTATTACCTACAATTCCAATAATGACATCAACAATAACTACCATGGTAACATCGAGTCCAATTAATTTTCCTCAATTATCACCTGATTATTTTTCATTATTAAATTTATCACAAACTATGATGATGAATATAAATGATAAATATAAGAATTGTTTAAATACATGGTTTTTAGATGAAAATCAATCAGTGGAGAAGAAATGTGATTTAGTACATCAAAAGGGTTAGTTATGAGGTTGAGAGTCTTTTGTTTTTATTTAGTTTAAAAACTTGAGCTACTCATGAGTAGTTTACGTTTTTCATAATGTCATTGATTGTATTCGGTTGTGTGAGTAGTTTGACATTATTTTTTTTCAGCTAAAATATTTATACTACTAATTTCATAGATTAAACAATTTGCAATCAGTTGAACGGCTTATAAGTATAAGCCTATTAGTATTGTTTTCATGATGATTTTTCGTAATATATTACCTAATTTTACAAAGTGAATAAAATGGTCTATCGGTTAAGTGCTCTGGTGCGAGGCTGGTAAGTCCTGGGTTGGAATCTCGCGACTGCGGGATCGTGGATGCGCACTGCTACTGAAGAGTCCCATAATAGGACGAAACGATCTTTCAATGCTTCCAGGTTTTCCATGGTGGTTTACCTTCAATTGACTAATGATTTCAACTTTGAAAAATACTGAAATTTCCACAGAACCCTTTCTGAAAAATTTAAGTGTTTTAAGAAAACATTCTTCATATCTAAATAACTAAACTCTTTAGAATACTTTATAATGAACTGAAAAGAAGAAGGATTGAATACATCGATGACATAATAAAATAAGGAATTTATATTTACTCTACAATGAACACTGGACAACTCAAGCATCCTGTTGAGAACTCAATATTACCATAAATCATGTAAACACAAATGTCCTTCATCAGTTTTAAGAATAATGTATTTGACCTAATTTTGTAGTTCAGTTTCATGTATTTCAACTATTAGGTTTTAAATTAGGGGAACTACACCCCTGTATATTTCTGTCTGAACCATAATACAAATTCATATATAAGGTACAACTAAAATCTGAGTGATATAAATCAGTTATTGATGATTTTCTACCAAATGCGTTTAGTATAGAAATGAACTTGTGAATAGTTAATAACTTGGGTACCATCCTGCGATTAACCAAATGTCAAACATTTATTAGTGTAAATCATTCAATTATATATAACCACAAACTGATCATAGCTCAACTGTCGTCGAAAATCTGTAAGCATTGGATGGCTATTTCGTCTTAGTATAACACCATTAGATGTCACTTAAGAGGTCTGAAAGTTAAGCATTTGCTTTAGAAAATAGAGGTTCTGGTCTAGATTCCTGCGTGAGGGGTGATAGATGGGTTCCGATGAGGAGTCCCACACTACGACAGAATGACCATCTAATGATACGAAGTTTATAATGGTTGTCTAACATTAATCAGTTCATGATCTCAACAAAAAAACTCAATAATCTCCACAAATCTCTTATGATGATCATTTATAATATTGAAATATTTGCTACTCACTAGGTACAGATTTGTGTGTATGACGGTTTATACTTTAGGTCCAAAGGCTAGTGATGCTACTTGAGTGCTTAAATCGAAGAAGTGGAGAGGTATTCAGACCCGAAACTTTCTGGTTGAGCGTCGAGCATATTAAACATTGAGACACTATTCCCCGAATATAAATTTTAAGACGAGGTGAACAGACGATAATGTCAGTCTGTAGAAGATGCTCATTAAGAAACTAGAATATTTCTTAAATGTGTATTTATATGAAATAGCTGGTTTATGTTGTGACAGTAAACTTCCATCGGACGTATTAGTTGTTAGCAGATCTTCCATTCATGAACTACCATAAATTAATTATAAACCTGCGAGGTTTATTCTTTGAAGACAGATCTAAGCTAATACATCAGTGATAATTCAGTGCTAAAAGACTCACAATATGAGACTTCAAGCATAGCCAATCATGACATCTTCAGGAATCAGAACTCAGGACGTCTAGCTATTACAGTTACAGCGTAAATGTCATATAAAACTCCACTCAATGGGTGCAACTATATCATCTGTGATCATTGTTCAATTCCCAAACTGTCTAAACTTTACTTATTACTAGGATGGAGAATATTTGTCCGGTGATCCGTCATTTTAAATAGTACCCTAAATAAGCTCAGTTTTTAAATAATACAACCTGAAAATGAACAAATCTTTACAAAATCTCTCCAGTTAAACTACAATGACTTGAAGTCTAGAGAATACAGAATAGTCTGAGGTATCTGATCAATAATCCCGGCATTTTTATTGGGAAGTAATTAGGATGTAGATTAGAATATGCGTTTTACTACGTACAGCAAACAGTAGTAGTTAATTGATACTAAAAGTAATTCTTGGCAAATGATGACTTTGATTGTAGTTAGTATAGAAAGATGAATTTTGTTCCATTTATGAATCATTAGCTCGATAACCTTCTATTTCAGTGTCGATATTCACACTAAATTATTATTATTTTTTATTTAAGCACATAAATATTGGTACAAATGGGCACAAGATACATATGTGCCACACAAATCTCATTTGATTTGTGTGAGAGATATGATACTGTCCAGGTGCTCAAACTGAAACGGGTGGTTTTCTTAGGGAGCCACATCCGGATCCTTTGACGTGAAGGTCTAGTCCACAAGGCAGTGGAGCATTGTGAGGAGATGCAGTCCCATGATAGCTGGTAACCAACGATTGATTCATACGCTATTTGTTCCCTCAGGATACTGGAACCCATGTACATTATTGTTTTGGAATCAGGGTTTTCCAACTCCCCTAGGTGAACTCGCCGTGTCCAACAAACCGGTTAAAGAGCCAAGCATTCGCACACTAAAACTGTAACTCGATATGAACATCAACATTGAGGTATAGGCACATTCTGTTAATGAGTCTCAACTAGCACAAAATAGAAATCATGGATTTCACACAACCAATAATTTATCATCATTATTATCATATCTCAACTAATTCTGTTTTTGATTTTTCTTACCTTTTTCATTCATTCAATAACTGTTGACAGAAAATCAACAACATTGTCAACCATTACCTCCATCCTATTCAGAAGCAATCAAAAATCAAATCAATGTATCAAATGGTTTATTATTATTATCATCATCATCATCATCAACAATGAATGATTTAAATAAAACAATATTGGATACAACAACTATTGAATGTTCAATGTCTAATCGATCCAATGATAATAATAATAATAATCCGTACTATGCATATTCCTCATCATCCTCATCAATTCCTTCTTCACCTATTCTTAATGGATTCTTACCATTTACATCATTCTCTTCTATGCCTTCAATATCTCATTGTAATAGTTTTCCATTGATTCATTCATATAATTTATCCACATCAATATCATCGTCATCATCGTTGACGACAACAACGTTATCTTCACCACCGTTGACAGTCACATCAACATCAACAGTCCCATCAATATCATCACAGAATATTTCATTACCATTGAATATTATTCAATTTTATTTAAGTCAATTATTATATCAACTGATTAATTGGTTATGTCAATGTAGACCAGATATAAAAATGATAAAATATTTTAATTATTCTATTAATAAATATAATATGATACAATTAATGTGTCAACAATGGGATTATTTATATGGTTTTACATTATTTTTAGAATTTTATAAAATGTCATTAGATGGTACCATGACTACTACTAGTACTACTAGTACTACTAGTACTACTAGTACTACTACTACTGCTATCAATACTACTACTAATGATAATAATAATAGTAGTAGTGATAGAGATGAAGCCAATGATCAATCAATTATTTTTAACAAAATGCATTATTTATGGTTAGAATTTGTATGTAAACCATTAGTTACTTCATGGAGTAATGGAATGAAATTAGATACTGGTAAGTTTAATAGATATTTATGTATAAGATATGATCTATATTATTGTGATGATGATTCTATTCTCATTGAATGACTTAGTTTCTAACTGATACGTTTAAGTTCAACTTTACACTGAGAGTAAGTCAATATGACATGACTCGGATTACCCGGTAAGTAATAGAGAGATTAGACATAAAGTACAAGGGTATGATGGTAAATCAGATGATGAGATTGTGACTCTTTATCGATTGAAATGTTTGAATCATATGTTAAGTATGCCAAATCAAAACGTGGCATCAGAGCAGGAAGTCAATAACTTCTAGTCTGAACCATGTTGGTAGATGCAGACTACTTGGTTGGGGTCCACGTGACTATCGTAACCAATGGTTGGAGACTCTAGGTGACATGGCTCAGAATCGATCACAATGGCGTAGGTGTATACACTCTTTATCTTCCCTTAAACCTTGAGATTAAAATTGCTTCATATCTGTCTTTCTTCCTATACTATATTCTTATATGCAACTTTTCTTTTATATATTACCACCACTAAATTAACTACTTCTATGAATTAGGTGTTCATCTTGTTGTGCTAATGAGGTATGGCAACTTGAACCGATGCATATATGTGACTGGTCCCACGTTGTAGCTGACTAACTGACTGACTGAGAAAATTCTTGAGGAGTCCCATAATAGGACGAAACGGTCGTCTAGTGCTTCCAGGTTTTCCATGGTGGTCTAGCTTTAATTGACTCATGATTTCAACTTTGAAAAATACTGAAATCTCTACAAATCCCCTTCTAAATATTATCGTAAAATAATTAAATAGTCAGCTCTGAAGTTATTTATTGTGTATAATTTAGGTATTGATTGAACAAGTTATGGAATATTAAATTGAATCATTTAGAAATAGTTAAAACTCCTTGGTTAAAGTCAAATGAATTACCCTTATCAATAATTGAAGACTTTCAGTACCCTAACCTTAAATCAACTATAGTCGAATAGCTGGATTCGTATATTAGCACTTTTTAATCTTAAATTCGGAGTTACAGTATTTTGTATTTCATATTTTGTATTTCTTTATTTGAATTCAATCCCTGTTTTCAATAATTAATCCTTTTTTTATTACAATTTATATTAGTGTAGTTTTGTTATATTCTATTATAAGAAATAGTTGCTATGGTGTTACGTCCTTGATCTGTCTACCCAATTTCGTGCCAAGAATGACTCGTGGAGAAGATTTGTAGCTCAGATGGATGATTTTGATGGAGTTTTGTTCAGCTCAGAGAACAAAACTTTATCAAAAAGGATAACTTCTCTAATGTAGATTAAGACCTTGATGCGATAGGCTGACTGTCTTAAACTTGAGGTTAGTATGTGTGAGGTAAAGAGATGAAAATTATTTTATCACCTGATTGCCTGACAGGCACGCACAAGAGAGAAGATAAGACAATCGGAACACTACTCGCTTTATTCCGAATTCCGATCTGGTACTCGATTTCAGATTAGTGTAAAAACGATAAATGAATAAATAGATGACTAACCCTACCACAACGTACAATAATTAGGAAAATATAATTATGTCAAAAATTGGGGGATTACAGTAGAAAATAAACTAAAAATTACAATGACTTTGGAACAGAAAACGCTATGACAGTGAATCATATATCAAACGAAAGCTTATGATCTATAGAATAGACTAGGGACAAAAGTAAATGTTACCATTACAAAAGTTTTGAACTAAATGAAAGAACGTCCTCAAAAATAGTTTCCATAGTTTGTCAAAGCTTCTTGATTCTTTGTTCACATTAAACCCCCTTATCATATGCTAACTAACGACTGACTCCATGAGGTATTTCCTGGAGTTCTAGTGAGAAGCATTAACCAGTGGAGTTCAACCAGGTCTGTTAGGAGATATCAACTGACTGAAGACATTAGTGAAATGGTTGCTCAACTTCGTAGATTGGTTGAAGTTAGATATTAACACCATTGAATGCCGGACGGCTAAGTAGTCTAGAGGTTAAGTGCTCTGGCGCGAGACTGATAGGTCCTGGGTTCGAATCTCGCGAGGTGGGATCGTGGATGCGCAGTGTCACTGATGAGTCCCACAATAGGACGGAACGGCCGTTCAGTGCTTCTAGGTTTTCCATGATGGTCTAGCTTCAATTGACTCATGATTTCAACTTTATATAAAAGTACTAAAAATCACCACAAGAAACCCCTTTAACATATTATAGTCAGATAAATTTTCATATTAGCGAGACTATAATTTATGGACGACCTTTGAACGAATCTTCAGTGACCTTGAGAAATATTAGACAATCAGAAGACAGTTGATATAGAGTAAAAATAGATTATACAACAACAAGGAATGAAAGTGGATACACTTCTTTTGCATAGTCCAAAAACTTGTCAAGTTTAGAAAGAGCTTCAAAGGTTCTAAACTCGTAATGCATAAGGCAGAGGAACTCATCCATATGGCTTCATAGTACTCGGTCTCTGGAGCTATTATGAGATCACAAAAACTCTCTCAGCCTCGACCACATAGCTTCAATATTGTTTGTATGTACCCCGATTGTGTAAGTTTTTCATTTTTATTACACACATATACCTGTAATACCCATACCTCTGAATAGCCGAAACTTTAGTAACATCTATAAATATTGCAGCTAATAATACTGTCAGACTTCTTCCTCTAACATATATTACATCGAAAGATAACATCATCAAGATAGTCTGCACAAGGTCTACAAATCAATTGATTACCACAATTACAAATAAAGGAACTTCTTAATAGTCTCATCTATTACAGCAGCTTAATTGTCACATTTTCTCTAAAATCCTCTACAAACCAATTGTACATTAGGAACAGGTACTGAAATTGGCGACGCGACTCTGAAATCCTTCAGATGTTTCTAATTGGCTCGTCCATAAATTATAGTCTCACCTTCATATTTTTCATTATCACTTTATTGTTATTATCTCTTTTAGATTTATTCACTAATTTATCAGAATGTAATTTAATTACTCAATTATTTACTCAATTAATTATATTAAAATTAAATGATGAAGAAATTGATTGGTTAAAAATGATGATCTTATTTAATTCAACAACAGATCATTTTCGGATTGGTAAGTTAATCATTTACATTGATAAGGTCAATTATTTTGATTGGTTAATTATTATGTTGCTAATTAATGATTATAGTTGAAATCATGAGTCGATTGAAGTTAGACCATCATGGAGAACTTGGAAGCATTGGACGACCGTTTCTTCCTATTGTGGGACTCCTTAGTAGCAGTGTGCATCCATGATCTTGCACTCGTGAGATTTGAATCAAGGACCTATCAGTCTCGCGCCAGAGCATTTAACTGATAGACCACTGAGCCGGCATCCATTATATGGATTGTTATGGTTTCAATAATGTGCAAAATGATGAACTTGTAAAACTATGAGACAAATTTGATGGAATATAATAGATAAGCTTAAGGTTAGTTAGTCAGTCCGTCAGTTACAACGTAGAACTTCGTACGTACGTACATCAATTCGAGTTACCATACCACATTAGCACAGAGATGAAGTTGTCGATTCAAATCCCATAGTAGTAGAAGTAGTAAGAGTATAAGTAGTAATGTGAAAGATTAGGGTTTGAAGATGTTATTGAAGGAGTATAATCTAGTGAAATAAATTTGAAAAGAGAAAAAAGATAGAGACATGAAGAATTCAGAAGATTAAAATTTGGGAGAACACAAACAGTGGATGCACTTTCACCATTGCAAACGATTTTGATCCATGTCATTCAAGGTCTCTAATCATCGATTGCTATCATCTCGCGGAGCCCAACCAGGTAGTCTACATCTACCAACATGGCTCAGTCCACTTGTCGATGACCTCATGAATTATTGCCACGTTTTGGTCTGACCATCCCTAGCTTTTTTCCAACCTACTTCTACACCATAAAACATTGCACGTCGGGGCAGTCGGTGGTTGGGCATACGTAACACGTGTCCCAGCCATCTCAACTGATGAAGTTACACTACTTCATCAATCGATTTCCCATCCTTACCTAGTACCCGTTTCCTAACGACTGCATTACTTACCCGGTGGTCTCAGAATATGCGAGCAATGCTTCGAAGACACCTATGATGGAATACTAGGAGCCTACGAATATCCTCTACTATTATCGGCCATCTTTCACTGCCATAAAGTAGGACGGAACGAATTGCTGCGCAGTAAACCCGTCCTTTTAAGGTAAGCTTAAAAGCTTTATTCAGTTCAATTTGATGACCTATATCCACTAAGTGAGCGAGAATAGAACTCTTAATCGCGTTTACCTGTCCTTTACTCAACTTCAACGGATAGTGTTCTGTTATTCGTTGACGAACTTGCTGAATTGTATGCTTTATATAACTGGATCCACAGGAGCAGTTGAATTGGTAAATATACATAGATGTGGCAAATTCAGTAAATTTGTCTTTATTAACTGCTCTTATTTTGCGGCAGTTGTAGAAGACTGTACTCATTCTGGATGCACTATATGTTTTTTTATACTGCCTTTTTTAACCTCTATGTCACAAATTTTTCCGTAACATCATTTAGGAATTGTAATTTTAAGAACAATACCTTCTTCGCAACGGTAGGTACCTTTGTTCTTCTTTTCGTCTCTTTCATGTGTTTGTCGATGAATTTCATTAAGTATCCATTTCTACTAAACAAGTTGCGAATATTAATTAATTCATCTCAAATAATGTCGTTCCTTCTTTATTTATCAAATGTCCAAATGGGAATTTTCACTTAAATTGAGTATATTCAATGTACAATGAAGTAGATTAATCATCTATTGGGAAAATTTTTTTATAAAATTGTGATCATTTCATTAGTGATCAGATCCTTTTCAAATAATCTGATATATGATTATTTAATATTTTTCAAAGTTGAAATCATGAGTCCATTGAAGCTAGACCACCATCGAAAACCTGGAAGCACTGGACGGCCGTTTCGTCCTATTATGGGACTCCTCAGCAGTGCGCATCCACGAACCCGCTTTCGCGAGAATCGAACCCATGACCTACAAGTCTCGAGTCGAAGCCCTTAACCGATAGACCACTGAGTTGCCATCCAACGTCCAGTGCTTCCAGGTTTTCGATGGTGGTCTAGCTTCAATTGACTCATGATTTCAACTTTGAAAAATACTGAAATCTCCACAAATCCCCTTCTGATTATTTAATAGTTGAGTTTATAGGTCGATATAAGTTAGACCACAAGTGAAAACTTAAAAGTATTGGACAACTGTTTTGTTTTAATTCCACAATAAGATAAAACGGCCTTCTAGTGTTTCCAGAATTTTCATCGTAGTTTAGATTCAATTGACTCATGATTTCAACTTTAAAAATTACGAAAATCTCCTCAAAATCCGTTCTGATAATAAAAAAATCATTCAGATAATGTTTGTATCTATGCCTGCCAATGCTTTGGTACGGCCGAGAGTGGGGAGAGTCTGCTCTCCTTCTCAAAATCCTCTCACATGGCCACGCGTATATAGGCTCTACCATGGAAAGTCCTACTCACTGCCTTCTCGTGGAATTACCGTGGTTTATGAAATTGAGAGGAAGAAAAGCGAATGTCCGGCGCTTTAACTGGGTTGGTGGACACTCTCCATGTTCACCTAGGGGAGTTGGAAAACCCTGGTTCTAAACCATTGGTGCACATAGGCTCCAATATCCTGAGGGAATAAATGACGAGTATGAACCAATCGTTAATCACCGTGTACCATGGGTCTGCATCTCCTTACGATGCTTCACTGCCTTGTGGATCAGACCTTTAGGTGAAAGTCCACGGTTGTGGTCCCTTAAGAAAACCACCTGCTTCTGAGTGAGCACCCAGACAGTATCACAGCCCACTCACAAATCAAATAAGATTTGTATGGCGCATATGTATCTGGTACTTTCTTGTACCAATATTTTTGTGTTTAAATAAATAAACAAATAATTTATACCATAGATACTAAAACAATTGTTACGTAATATTTTTAAAAAATATATATATTCAATTCAATTTTAATGAACATTTATATAAAAAAACAATTTGTATGATAAGCAAAGATAGATAGTGGTTATGAGTGGAATAGAGGACGCGTGTTTCGTCATATTTAGGACTCGTCAGCTGGATGTACTTGCATCTGCGAGTTGATGTTCACTCTAGGACTCGAACCCAGTATCTTTCACTTCAAACGCCATCGCGTTATCCACTCGGCCACTGAGTCCTGATAGCCAAATACGAAGAAACGTAAATCCTCGATTCCACTGCTTGCCACTATCCATCTTTGCTTACCATGCTTGTAAATTATGACTATATCGAGGCTATAGACACAGTATGTACATATACCCAATTAGAGACTGACCAGTTATTGGTTCGATCATTCAACTAGTCTAATAGTACACGGTATAGCAAGAATCTAAAGTTCTAAATATAACATTGATCTACCTTCAATTGATTTATGATTTCAACTATTAAAATTACTAAAATCATTGATATAAACAAACAATTTAGATTATAATTAAATCTATATTAAGCAGAGATAAATAGTGGCTAGCAATGGAATCCACTTTGACGTGCGTTTCGTCCTATTTGGGCCTCGTCAGTTGGATGAATTTAAATCTATATCACCTAAAAAAATAATTTTCTATTTTTCTATTTTTTTTTCTTTTCTAGATTCATTTGAATTACCACAAAATTATTTATTTAAATATTATCAAATTATTTCTAAAAATTTAAATGATCCATTACGTTATAAACAATTAATGACTCTTATTCAAACAATTTATTTATGTATTAATTTAAAATTTAATTTATCTAATATATGGATTAAATATTATATACAATATATATTTCAATTAAATAATGAAAAATTTAATTCATTAATTAAATCTATGTTAATAACAGCTATAGATACTACTGATATGTTAATAAGTAGTAATAATAACAGTAATAATTAATTAATCAATTAAATATCGATTATTATGATTATTTAATTGCACTTAGAAACAATAAACAGACAACTAAAAAAATAGTCTCTATTGATTATTATTCAAGTTCCATTCAAAAAAAAAATGTATACATATTGAATGATATGTTGGTGTTACTCTCAAATCCTCCCTTCCCCCATGCAACACACACATCCACGTATATATTTATTCACTTTATTTAAATGATGTTAGCAATAATTAAGATGTTTTTTTTTTTTTAAATCTTAACTATGCATATACTTTTTAATTCGTTGAAAAAATTTCATCGACTTTTTTAAAAAAAAATTCTAGTTCAATGATCTCTTTAAATGAATACATAAATAAGTTCAGGAGTTTAAAAGTTACATATATATAAGTACACACATACACATTTATATACACACACACACACTTTTACACACCTACACACACACACTAATATGCACTCGAGAAAAGGAAACAGATGAAAAAAAAATCATAATTTTCGGGGTTTTCTTTTTTTTTTTTTTAAAAAAAATTTTAATTCCTCTATTTTTTGTTGTTTTTTTTCACCTTATTTTATTACAAGACAAAAACAAACTTTCTCTTTAGTTCTTACGAATTGTAGTACAAGTTTTATTTTACCAAAGATAATTTAACTCTAAAGAGAAGACGTTTTAAACGAGAAAAAACTATGAAGCTTCTTCATGTAATGATGTTATGATAGAAAAATTTTCGACTTTCTGAATTATATTACTTATATTGATATTAATAAGTAGTATCAATGAGTACTATACATAATTATATATAATAATGAATTACTATTAGTTGTTTCATTAATCAATCAACTAATAGATGAGTAGGATATAAAAAGAATAATAGATGAACACATATATATGTGGATTGATTTATGCACAAATATACATATACATTGTCACTTATGATATTTTAATGAAATTACAGGGTTACATTCAAAGATACAACATATATACCCTTTTTTTATATACCCTACCATATATATATATATAAAACAAACCGAGTATAACACCAACCTACTCAAAAACTTTTGTTTCTTTATTATTGATTTTTTCTTTCTTTTTTGTTTTCTTCACCCAATTTTTTTTTGTTGCTATGCAATTTGCACTTGATAATCCCTAATACTACTATTATTATTATTATTATTATTATTATTATTATTATTTTGTAAATAGGATATTTGAATGAAAAAAAAGAGTACCATTAGTGACTTAAATGAATTTTATAATTAAAAATATATTTTATGTTTATTTTTTGTTGCTGTTGTTGTTGTTGTGTCGATTTTTTTCTTTTTATAGGTTTGGGGGGGGAGATAATTTGACACTATTAAATGAAATTGGATAGTAGAGTGATTACAAGAGGAGTGGGTCTCAGAAAATAAGAACGACCTTAATTTTAGTAAAAATAAATTATTATTAGAAAGGTTATCATGGAGATTTTAGTAATTTTAATAGTTGAGATCATGAATCAATTGAAGCTAGACCACCATCGAGAACCTAGAAGCACTGAATGGCTGTTTCGTCCTATTGTGGAACTTCTCAGTAGCAGTGCGCCACCATAATCTCACCTCGCGAGATTCGAACCCAGGATCTGTCAGTTTCGCGCCCGAGCACTTAACCTCTAGACCACTGAGCCATCCGGCATTCAATGGTGTTAATGTCTAACTTCAACAGGTCCACGAAATTGAGCGACATTAAAGCCGTTGGATGCCGGACGGCTCAGTGGTCTAGTGGTTAGGTCCTGGGTTCGAATCTCGTAAGGCAGGATCATGGGTGCTCACTGCCACTGAGGAGTTACATAATAGAACGAAACGGCCTTCCAGTGCTTCCAGGTTCTTCATGGTGGTCTAGCTTCAATTGATTCATGATCTCAACCATTAAAAATAAATTATAATGAATTTAAAAATTTGTTCAGCAACGAATAAATATATACAATATACGGAGAAAATAATTTATTGTTAAAGAAGAACCCAGTTCATACCCTTATCATTTCGCATAATCTCAATCCGATACATTGTTTAGTCCCAGTGCTTATCTGATTCGTTGATATCAACTGTACAGAACATATAACTGTTGTATTCTAAGTGGTTGTTTTAATGAAAAGAATAACTTACATCGATTCATAGTTCTAATGAAATACAATAATCTTCATAATACCAGACTGAAAATTATCATATTTCTACTAATGACTAGCTTCGAAATGAAATTTCCGGTGCTCTGGTGGAGAAGCCATGACAAGTAGAGTTCAACCGTATTGAGTGTGTAGCAGTTATTCACCAAAGACAATATGAGGTGGTCATAAAATACCGTGGATTGATTGACTTTGGAAATAAACACTGATGCATACTGGTTCAGTGGTCGAGAGTTTAAACGTTCGTGCACGAGATCATAGGTCCTGGGTTCGAGGGGTCGCAGCTGTGTACTACTGAGGAATCTAATACTAGGGCAAAACGATAGTTCAATGCTACCAGGTATTCAGTGGTAATCTAAAATTAGTCGGTTTGCGGTTCTATAGGAAACTCTTATTTCTATCATTAACATATCGGTTTACAAAAGTATTGATCTCAATAAAGAATAGTAATCTTACTATTCTGTTATAGTTGAACTAGTGTCTTCGATCTAATACTAACCGTATCCAATCGGATGACAACGTTAGGAAGTATATATTTTTGTTAATGACTCCATTCAAACAACAACAATAATAATGGGTAACTTTCTGATCCATTCATCAACAGAAAATTACAGACGGACTTGACACGTATGTCATTGATCACCACCCAAGTGATCAATCAATTGTGATTACATCTCAGTCCTACAGGAGGTCAGTCGCGGCCCGAATAACTCAGTGGTAACGTCTCTGACTGTGAAGCTGAGTGACACGGGATCGAATCCGTCAGGGAACACCAGTTTCCTCAAGATTATAGGTAAACCTTGCTGTCAAGTTGCAGGTAGCACTCAACCCGGGTTCAGGGTTTCCTGTTGACCACCTCAAACCACCATCTTAATTACAGAATACGCATAAGTAAGATGGAAAATTTGTAATTAATTAACAATAAATTAAGAAAGGTAAAACATATAACAATAGTTAATGTTTCAAACGATAGATTAAATTTAAGAGAATATAACGATATACTAATTCAAGTGTCTAATAATTATACAATAAAAGAATACAAACAATAATGCTTCATAAGATGGTTTCACAAGTTACAGCTTCCTTAATATACGTCCCGTTACAACAAGCGAGACTAAGAACCATAATAGTAATCTTATACTGACTGGTTAAGATCTGTACGATTATTAGAACTAATAGTTGGAAGAAAATTGTTTAATATAGTTTAGAATCACTCACGGAATGACCGTCTATTACTTCCAGGTTTTCAATAGTGGTCTAACTAGGTATATACAATTGATTGATCACTGGGTGGAGATCAATTCCATGTGTGTAAGGTTCTTTTTAGTGCAGATCAAATCCTATCGACCAAGTTGCAATATAGTCACTAGTCTAAGTAAATCGACATTGCACTAAGAGGGACCTGATATACATGACATCGATCACCACCTAGTGATTAATCAATTGTAGATATGTCTCAATCCTACAGGTGGTCAATCACTATCTATAAACCTGAGTGGTAACGTCTCTGACTATGAAGTTTGGTAACTGTTATATCCCGTGGAGATTTATGAGTGGTAACTTTGAGAACTATTTATGGATCAATATGATATGTATATTTCCTATTGTATAATTGTTAAGTAACTTAACTATTTGTATTCATATTTCTCTTATTACATGCTTTATTTTGGCCTACATACTATTATTATACGATTTATCATTCTTGAGTTATCCCCAGTCTATCGATTTCTGCTCCCTCTATTCACAGCCACATCTGGCTGAATCTTGTACAAATGTTATTTTCTATTTTATTGGTACGATGTGGTCTGTTTGATTCGTATATAAACCCAGTATGGTAAGCAAAGATGTATAGTGGATAGCAGTGGAATCCAGGACGCGCGTCACTTATTGGGGACTCGTCAGTTGGACGTACCTGCATCTCAGAGTTGATGTTCACTGTGGAACTCGAACCCAGTACCTTTCGCTCAAAACGCCGTCGCGTTATCTACTCGGCCACTGAATCCTGATAGCCACTTGCTTATGCAATGGTGTGAAGTTTAAATTCACTTAGTATTGTTTGTTTGAATCTTCCCATCGATGTGTTTGAACTGCAATTGATCAGTCTCTAATTGGCATATGTGCACGTCCTGGATTCCACTTTTAGCCACTATCCATCTTTGCTTACCATGCTTGTGAATTTAGGCTATATCGATGCAATACGCACAGTATGTACATATGCCAATTAGAGACTGACCAGCTGTAGTGCTAAAAACATCAATGTGAAGATCCAAAGAAGCAATACTAAGTAGATTTAAACCCAGTATGTTTGAAAATAATGATTCATATTGCAGAGGCTGTTATTAGTGTTCTGGACTTGACTGGCTTGGCTAGGCAGATAGCAGGACCGAGTAGTGCTCAAGACTGTTCATTCAGCTTTTGTGTATCATTAATCCGATCGATAAACTCACTGCTCTCTGTTAGATGGTTTTATAACGTTCATATATATATCAACTGAGTATGTACGCACATCAATCGATATATCACTAACACAGGATCAAATCCATCAAGAAGCATCAATTCCTTCAAGATTACAAATACACCTTGTTGACAAGTGCCAAGTAACACAAAACTTAGATCCAATACTTTCTGTTGTATACTTTTAAACTACTTAACTGGAAGCAAAAGTTATCGGGTTCGAATCCCACAGTGAACATCAACAACTCTGAGATGTAGGTACATTCAGCTGATAAATCCTAAATAAGACGAAGTGACACGCATCAAACTGAATTCCACTGTTAGCCATCTTAACTGGAAATCACTTATTGTTAATTCTAATTTTTCCAATTACAATATAAAATATTAATTAATCTAACCATTTTGTTGATTATTATATTGTATAGAATAATCATTTTCTATATGTAAATTATTTGAACATTATTATTATTATTTGGTAACATTTAATTTGTAATATTGACTTTCAATCATTATTAATGTTAAATACCTTTCTTTTCTATTTCATTTATCCATATATTCATATACCTAATCATCAATCAGTTGATTATATACCATTTAATCAGTTGAAATAATCATTCATTCATTCAATCATTCAATCAATCAATCAATGTTCAATTTATATATATGGATATAGATATATATATGTATAAAGTCAAATAAGTTATTCCTTTATGTATATATATATATATATTCGGATGTATATATGTATACCTTCTTCTTCTTCTTCTTCTTTCTCTTCTTCTTCTTGTTGTTGTTGTTATTCATCTTCTTGTTCTTGTTCTTCTCTCTCTTCGTATTCTTCTTCCTCTTGTTGTTCTTGTTCTTCCTCCTCCCCCTCTTCTTCTTCTCCTCCTCCATCTTCTTCTTCTTTCTCTTGTTGTTGTTGTTGTTGTTGTTATTCATGTTCTTCTTCTTCTTTCTCTTCGTATTCTTCTTCCTCTTGTTGTTCTTGTTCTTCATCCTCCCCCTCTTCTTCTTCTTCTCCATCTTCTTCTTCTTCTTATTATTATTGTTTTACTATATATGTCAATAAGAACACTGATTATTGAATAGAAAGAAAGAAAAAAGTGATAATGTTATAAATTAGGCTAATTTATCCTTATTTATAAATACAAACATACACTCTCGCACACACGCACAAACAACAAAACACATACACACATTTATATATATATGCACATAAAAGTATCTTTAATGTTGTTATTTTTTTTATTCCTTTTCTTTTTCTATCAATTAAAACAAAAACTGATAGATATTACTAAGTAAATATTGATAATAAGTAATATGTAAAGTTACAATCATCATTATCATCAATATCACCATCAGATCAACCATATTAAACGTCACTTATTGTTCTGACATCAAACATATTCACTTTATATAATAACATTCCTATAATAACGGCAATTATAATAACAGGTTACAGGTTCTTAGAAAATATGTTTTCTTTTTTTGTTGTTGTTGTCCGTATGCTTTCATTCAATAAAGACATGGATAATCAAGATTAGAGTCAATGATAAAAAAAAATG